ATGACTTTATTCTCGTAATCCCACCCCCAACAGTGTTCTCTCTTAGTATGGCCTTAGTAATACTAGTTAAACATGATGAGAATCGGTTGATAAAAAGGAGTTACGGTCAGTTAGCTGCGCACTCTCAACACTGCTACCTGACCGGATCTCGACCTCACCAACATGGCGACCGCGCAGCCGCACGTCAGTACTCGAGAACGCGGTAACGGCAGCGCGGCCGTTCTCTCTCTCCGGGAGCGCGCACGTACGCTCACGTAAAGTTCTGTTTACGTCCACTCTGTGGAGTCTCCACTGCTGTGACCTGCTGCAGCTCACTCCACCAAACACTGTAGCTGCTCCAAACACTCTCCTCGGGGATGATATGGAAGCATTTTGAAATCGCAGACAGTTCGTGCCCCCCAGAGCACAGGTCATCATGGATTATCTGTTAGTTCAGAGGCTTTTCTCCTCACACTGACTGACAGCAAGAACTGGGACAAGGGACTTTGGTGCTACTAACGTTAGCCAGCGACGCAACTTAGCCAGTCGTTTTTTTTTTTTTTTGTGTTGAATTTCAAGCCTTAAACTGCTGCGACAGGTATCATGTATAATTCTTGACAAGTCCTTCTGTGTGTGTGGCTTCATGTGTTGTCCTCCTCACTTCATGTGGCGGTGTTTTTCTCCCTGGTTGTTGTGCAGCGTTGGCGTTAGCCCCCTTCAGCTGTCGTTGGCTGGCTGCTTGTGCTAATGTGTAGCTATAGTTATTGCCTCCCAGTGGTGGAAAAAGTATTCAGATCTTTTAACGGTAAGTTGCTTTGGCAAAATACACAGTGCACAATTGGTTGCTTTTAAAAAAAAAACAATAAAAATATCACCAAACACCCCATTGTTGGCTGTGAAATAAATATAAATAGAGGAGGGAGAGAGAAAAGGGCCCTGTCTCATAAGCTTTGCATGGGAAATCTTAATTTGCTGACTGCAACTGTCAGACAAATTGAATAAATTAGCAATAAAGTGTAATATTTACCTCTAAAATGCAGTGGAGCTCTCACAAATTGGACACACTCAAGTTAAGTAAGTACACACACTTTATTTATTTTGTTTCTCAGGCTTTCTAGCTCACACGAGTTAACATCAAATATATACATTATATCTGTTTTCTGTTGGGCGCTCACACACATTACACAACCACTGAACAAATATGGACACAAAACACACTCGCCAGATGGTACCACGTGTATATTAAGTGCCGTGTGTGTTTGTCCGTCTCGTTTCTTTAGAGTCCTGGAGTGGTTTGAGATCGTTGAGAGATTCTCAAGGCAGCATGGCGCCCAAAGACATCATGACCAATTCCCACGCCAAATCCATCCTCAACGCAATGAACTCGCTTCGCAAGAGCAACACACTCTGTGATATCACTCTGAGGGTGGAGAACACAGATTTTCCAGCTCACCGGATCGTCTTGGCTGCCTGCAGCGACTACTTTTGTGCCATGTTCACCAGTGAGGTAACTAAACCTCCTGCAGTCCTCTAAAAACTAATTATCACTATTATTCGCCTCTACAAAGCGTGTTACATACATCTTGATAGAGAATAAAAGGGTCTATTCTCAGGGAGACGATGCCCCAGTTACAGTTTAGGAGGCATATTTTCTGAGAGTTTCTAAGGAAGTGTTTGAATTTACTAAACAAGACAGTCGACAAGACAATTATGGGAATTGCTACAGGATAATACCCAACGCTTATAACTAATCCCTCAATGATGGTGTGTTTTTGTGGCTCCGCAGCTTGCAGAGAAAGGAAAATCTTTTGTGGACATCCAGGGGCTCACTGCAGCAACCATGGAGATCCTGTTGGACTTTGTCTACACAGAGACGGTGTTAGTCACAGTGGAGAACGTCCAAGAACTGCTCCCTGCAGCATGCCTGCTGCAGCTCAAAGGTACGATTAAGAGTGCCGGCTGTACCTTGATTTGAAAAGTGTGTGCGTAAGTCAGCTGATATCGTTGTGAGTATTGGCAGAGGGTTAGCAGAGGAGTTAAATGGTATTAAAAAGTCATAAATGTAAGTGTGACATGTTTTCTCTTGCCTGCTGTTGGCAGTTATGTTAGTTTCATTAATATTTTGTATCTTATTACAAGACATGTGCAAGTTGTGGCAAATGTTAAGTAGAAATTTTAGCTAAAACTTAAATTAATTAATAATTTTGATTTGGTTAATCCATCCATCCACTTAATGCCACTTAATGCCACTTAACCCAGTCTAGGTCACATTAGTTTAATTAATCCTGTCATCAGGACTTATTATTGTTATATACTGCTGGGAAGTGATGAAAAACGGGATTTATTTCCATTCTGCGTGGTATTAAAAGTCTTTTAAAAGTCTTAAATTGAAGCCTGCAGGAACCCCGAGGAAATGGTTTCAACATTTCTAAATGAACAGTTGTTGAGTAACACGAGAGTCTTGATCTGCATGTGAACGATACGTGTGTGTACATACGAATGTGTCTTTGTTTTTGTCTTCAGGGGTGAAAAGAGCATGTTGTGATTTTTTGGAGAGTCAGCTTGATCCTTCCAACTGTCTGGGTATTCGTGACTTTGCCGAAACTCACAATTGCCTTGACCTGATGCAGGCCGCCGAGCTCTTTTCCCAGAAGCATTTCTCCGAGGTGGTTCAGCATGAGGAGTTCATGCTGCTCAGCCAGACAGAAGTGGAGAAGCTCATAAAATGTGATGAAATCCAGGTAGGAAAACTGGATGTCAGGAGGTTTTTCTTACTTTTTGGCGTCAGCCGAAATATTACCAAAATTGCAACAAGTGCAGCAGTTTTTCATAAAGGTAAAACGTGTTTCTAAACAGCATTATAATGAAGTTCTGTAGTGCTGCAGAGATTTTCTAGCCTTCCAATCTTGTTCTCCTGATACAGACCTCAACAAATATCACATCATATCAGCAAGATAATCTTTCTTACCATATCGCGCAGCCTTACTGCGGAGGCTGGTCTCAATACTATGCATAACTAAGTGTTTTATTTGAAATACCTGAAACTATAATGAGATACCTGCTGCCTGAAGCATTCGTGTACAGACCTGCAGTAACTGTAAAGGGTTAGAATTGGTGCTAAGATGCCCGAAAAAAGCAGCTTGACTAAAATAGTGCAGTGTCAGATGAGTTTGACTTTCACAGCTTTCTTATTATGTTTCACCTCAGTGAGTGTGAAGAGAAAAGCAAGTACCGACCTGCTGCAATCTTAGTCGGTGGGCCCCCCCAGTTCCACTCACTTTTAGCGGATTGGCCTGACAATGAAATTGCAGAGAAGAAAACCTGATTTAAGTTTGCTTTTGTGCTCAGGAAATTCCTGTTCCCAACCACACGCCTTGCTTTGTGAAAACACAGTTATTATCACACAATGATTTATAGATCATCAATTCTGTCAAATGGTTCTTCCTGTCATTTTTGTTGTTTTTAAAATAAAAACTAGACCATGCAGGTAAATCACAGTCACGCATAATTTTGCCCTCGGTAAAAACTTTACTCTTTGTGTTCGTCTTTCCTCGTGTGAGGATTTCAGAGAATTTATGGCTTGTTTCACCTTCAGGAGACTGCGTTGTGGCTCATTGTGTCTTTGCGATTACAAACATAATCGCAACTGCAGAACAATTAATAATAACAGTTGGTTTAGTTAGAGTGGTTGCATCACTAATGGACTTTTATCTGCAGTTGTGAGCTGATTTTTGAATGTGGCTTTAACGCAGCTTCTTCTCACTCTATATGCTGTCTGTTTGAAGGTGGACTCGGAGGAGCCTGTATTTGAAGCCGTGTTAAACTGGGTCAAACACAACCGGAAAGAGCGAGAGCCCTACCTGCCAGACATGCTCGAGTTCGTTCGAATGCCGCTCCTGACCCCCCGCTACATTACAGACGTCATTGATGCTGAGGTGAGTTAGGCGACACACGGCAGGTTGTCGTGTAATCAGACGCCAAGCTCTTCGATGAAGGATTATGTGTTACAGCGTTTATCACCGTTACCCCTGTAATTACGCATGTTTTGACACGTTTTAGCCCCTCATTCGGTGTAGCCTGCCATGTCGAGACCTTGTTGATGAAGCCAAGAAATTCCACTTAAGACCGGAGCTGAGGAGTGAGATGCAGGGCCCACGCACACAAGCTAGATTAGGTAGAAATCCTGTTTTTTATAGCGACTTCGCTATATGCATGCCTCCTCCTATACACCTTCTTGGTAATCCACACTGGTATTAAAAGTGATTCATGGGTCCTTTCAGGTGCCAAAGAAGTCCTGTTGGTTATAGGTGGGTTTGGCAGCCAACAATCACCAATAGACATAGTTGAGAAATATGATCCAAAAACACAAGAATGGAGCTTCCTTCCTGTGAGTATTGCAACTTTTGAAAGAGAGCCTTGCATGTTTTTTTTATCTAAGTGGTTTTGTATCATTTAAACCTGTATGTCTTTAAACAGAACATTGCACGGAAAAGGCGTTATGTCGCCACGGTTTCTCTCCACGATCGGGTTTATGTGATCGGAGGCTACGACGGTCGGTCGAGGCTCAGCTCCGTGGAGTGCCTGGACTACACGGCGGACGAGGACGGCGTTTGGTACACCGTCGCCACCATGAATGTGCGCCGCGGCCTTGCTGGAGCCACGACGCTCGGAGGTGAGCGAGCTTGTTTGCCAAATGACTCAGCGGTGTTGCCTTTCTCAGAAATCCCCTGTGGATGTTTTCTTCTCTCTCAGAACGGTATACAATAACAACGCAGTTGTGTTTGTTCCATCTCATTTGGCTCTCGACAGACATGATCTATGTCGCCGGTGGCTTTGATGGCAGCCGGCGTCACACCAGCATGGAGCGATATGACCCAAACATCGACCAGTGGAGCATGCTGGGAGATATGCAGACGGCAAGAGAGGGAGCTGGTCTGGTGGTGGCCAGCGGACTTATATACTGTCTAGGTGGGAACAGATAAACTTAACGTCTCATTCTTTGATAACTTTGACACATATTGTGGTCATATTAGGGCTGGATTGCTGATTGTTTTCTTAATTAGCGCCAAATTATCCAAATATTAGTGAAATCCAAACATTACCAAGTGCAATGTCCAAATCGCAGAAGCTGCAGTGTTTTAATAAAAGTAAAATGTGTGACAAACAGCATTATAATGAAGTACTTTAGGGCTGCAGAGAGCCTACAAGTCTTGTTCTCCAGATGTAAGAAAACAGGTTCAAACCCTCAGCAAATGTCACATCATCATGATTATAACTGCAAATATCATTCCCACTGATTGAAAATCAATATCTGTCAAAATAATTGCAATATCATACATCAATTAATCATTTTGTCTATAAAATGTCTGAAAATATAATTTGCCAGAGCTCAAGGTTGCGTAAAAGAAAAGCAGCAAATCCAAACATTTGAAAAGCTGGAACCAGCAAATGTTAATCATTGTGCTTGAATCATTTAAATAGTTGCCTGTTAATTTTCCTGTCAACCTATTGATTGGTTATGAATATAACATCAACACGAGAGAGATTTCTCATCCTCAAAGACTGTAAAAGTGAAACATGACATAAAACTATTAAAGCAAACATAAATCCAACATTTGTACAGCAGTCACGTACTTGCAGTCTCTCCTGTCAGGCGGTCAAAATTAAGCATTTTTCATTTGAGCTTCTTGTCGTCTTAATAAATGCTTCAGTCAACGGTCCATTTGTGCAGTAAAGACACCTGGATACACTTTAAACTCATTTTAAACTCGGAAACTTCTGTAGGTGTAACTGTTAACAGAAAACTCTAAGGCTTTGATGGTTGACTAACTCTTAAAGACAACCTATAAACGGACGTGAAGTAACTCGCTAGCCAACAACATTAAGGCTACAAACAACCCATAATGCATCACCGTAAGGCCTGGTATTACACCGATACTCTCTCCATTAGTATCGGTAAAATGTAATAACGTCTAACAGCTAACAATCATTTTCATTATGGATTAATATGACACCAATTTCCTTAATTAGTTGGTTAATTGTTTAGTTTTCCCCTGACTTTCTGTCTGACTTCCAAAATCCAAAGATATTTAATTTGTTTTTACATAAGACAAAAAAAAGCAGAAAACTCTAACAAATGAGAAGTTTTTTGAAAAATTTGTGCTTCAAAAAACTTAAAATATAAATAAATTATTTAAATAGTTGCCTATTATTTTCCTGTCAACTGATGAATCGACTAACTTTTTCCTGATTGTCCCTCACAGGCGGATACGATGGACTAAATATCCTGAATTCAGTGGAGCGTTATGACCCACACACAGGCCACTGGACAAGTGTCACACCAATGGCCACCAAGCGGTCAGGTAGGTAAGACGACACGACAGACAGAAGTAAAATATTACAGCTAACTGAGTGTGTTACTGTTTATCTGAGACTTCTCTGCTGTTTTTCAGGGGCTGGTGTTGCTTTACTCAATGACCACATCTACGTAGTGGGAGGCTTTGATGGTGTGTCGCACCTCGACTCTGTTGAGGTCTACAACATCAGAACGGACTATTGGACCACTGTGGCCAGTATGACCACCCCTCGATGTTACGTAGGAGCAACCGTTCTCCGAGGACGTCTCTATGCCATCGCCGGGTAAGAAAGAGTGATCTAGTGACTGATTTTAAAGTGAGAGTAGGTAACGTTCAGAAGAATTCTGTGTTTGTTGTTATTGTCCTATAACTATAACTGTCCGAACTATATAGTTTGTAGAACTATGTATGAATGAGACATGAGGTAGCTCGACTATTGTGTGAATCTATCCTTTAACTTAAGAGTTAAATGATCTATAATAACACTCTGTCTTAGGTAATGTATCAGTTTCATAGGTGTGTAATGGTACACTGAGGTTATTATAGTTAACTAAAACCAAAAATAAAACTAGGTGTGAAAAAAACATTTAGTTAACTGAAATAAAAATAAAACTAGACATTTAAAAATAATGAAAACTAACTGAAACGATATTGTGTACTTACAGTGTCTTTAGTTTTTAGACTGGGGTTTCTATGTGACTGTGAATCAGATGCCTTCACAAAGTGTGTTTCTATTGTAGTATCTCTCCTGAACGTCCTAAATCTTGTTGTTTTAAGAAGCTAAAACTAACAGAAACTAATAAGAACTGAACATTTTTAAACAATAAAAACTAAACTGAAACTAAACTGTAAAACTAATGACAAATCCAAAACTATAATAACTCACTCGAGTAGTAGTTTACATTAATAGATTATTTTTACAGTATTTGGTACAACAGGCTTTCTAGGCTACAACTCTCTCTCTCTATCTCTCTGTCGCTCTGTCTATCTCTCTGTCTCTCTCTCCTATCTATCTATCTATCTAAAGTCTATCTATCTAAATCTAATCTTCTCTATCTCTCTCCTCTCCTGGTCTCTCTCTATTCCTCCCTCATGTCTCTCTCTATCTATTCTATCTCCTCTCTGTCTCTCTCTCTCTGGTCTCCCTCTCTATCCTCCTGTCTCTCCTACTCTCTTCTGTCTCTCTCTCTCTACCTGTCTCTCCTCTCTCCTATCTAGGTTCTCGTCCCTCTCTCTCTCTTGTTCTCTTCCTGTCTTCAAATCTCCTGTGCTCTGCTCCCCAGATACGACGGGAACTCTCTCCTCAGCAGTATTGAATGTTACGACCCGGTCATCGACTCCTGGGAGGTTGTCACCTCGATGGCGACACAGCGGTGCGATGCGGGCGTCTGCGTTCTACGAGAAAAGTGATTGTTGCCAAGAACAAGAGGAAACTCAGACGGGAAGACAGGCAGCTAGACTTTTTGCTAAAAAAAAAAAATGCCACTAAAACAGAGCCACAAAGGGAGATGTTTGTTTCGCCAGTGTGCAAAAATAGATACTCTGAAATGAATAAGCGCTGCAGCTTGGGGGCGGCCTCCTCCTCCCCCCTCCGCTGGATGGTCGACCCCGTCCGACACTTGGAGTGCGCAACAGAGATTCAGCTTCGCCGTGGTAGACTTCACCTCAAAAGAGGCCTCCAAGGAGCCCATCACCACTTGCATGACTCTCTTCGGTGGTACTTGTCGTTACCTGTGAGATTATTTTTTCAGTTTGTCTTCAAAGTGCAATATATTTCTACTCATCATAAGAAAAAAACATGAAAAGATGGAGTTGATTTAGACTCCAGTTGCTGCTATATGCCTTATGACTTTGGCCTACATCAAACAGTGAACATCCATGTTGCCTCCCATTTGACTTTGATGATAGTTACAGTACATCGGCTTGTTATCGAGCGTACTCATTTGGCATTTGCGAGGTCATGAATGGGTCAGTAATTCAAACCCCCTTTTTGTAATTCTTCCTGTAAACAGTGCTTTTAGATTCAAATCACTTTAATACGACATGTTTAATACTTATTGTTGCTTTCAGAATGAATATATATTTAGAGATAAATATTGTTTTAGAAAATTACTGAGTTGTACCAGGTTACTTTGATTATTTTCGTCCCTCTATCTGGAGCAGGTGAAGAAAATCACAAAGTAGTAAGTATGAGGTGCATGTGATTTGTTTTTCTTCCTCAGCTTATACATTTGGACATGTACATGTAGGACACAAAGTCATAACATCACTGTTGCCTGGAAAGTGAATAAACACACTAAGAACTGACACGGTTTTTGTCTGTGGTGCATCTTCTTCGTCTTTAGTGATGCAGAAACTTTTTTTACACTATTTCAGCTGCGGCAGTTGTAACAAACCCATTATTCACATCTACAGAGCAAAAAAAGTGGAGAAAATCATCCAGCCACAGTCTCAAATTCAGTTTTAGTGTCCAAATTCCCAATATTTTGTTCTGGCTCTGTTAGGTCTATGCACACTGTTCTCCTTCCAGATACTTTAAGCCAGTCTAGCACCGTCATCCACACTAAAGAATCTCAACTATTGGATCAAGTGATATGAAATTAATTACAGACATGAGTTCTCCAACTTCAGTGATCCCTGACTTTTCATCATCAGATCAAATTTTCTGATTTGTCAAATACTTTTAGTTTATGACTTAATAACTGCAAAACTAGCCTGTATAAACATATCTCTTTAAGCACCGCTACAACAATGTAAAGATTACTCCATTACAAGTAAAAGTCTTCGTACTGTGCAGAAGTATTATCAACAAAATGTATTTACAGTATTTAAAGTAAAAGTACTTTGAATAAAATGCCTGCTGGTGTTTGCATTTAGCTTTAAAGCACCACTGAGCCTACAGCCTCACAGTGGCAGTAGACTCTCATTCTAATACCATTCTCCTTTCTGTCAAACTCACGTCCACTAAATGTAAAGCTGCCACACAGTCAATGTTTCCCAGTGTTTCACCCTGATGGCGAAATTCATCTGTTAATTGGCAGAATATCTCACCATACAGGAAAGTTAACTCGCTTTTATCGGGATGAAGTGAACTTTTGCTGAATGCTGCATTGAGCAATAGTTACACCTCGGTTTCCTGAGAAAGGAAAGAATAATGATCAAACATGTTACCACACAGGATCTTTTGAATATGTCTCTTTTGACTAATGGTAACATTATGATTCAATAGAAGGTACATTTCACATATTTTACTATCCTTGTAACCATTAAAAGCTCATTACAAAGCAGCGGTTTAATGATCTTCTACTGGGGTCAATTTTGAGATAGTTGTACTTTGTTAGTATTTCCATTTTAGGCTTTTTTTATACTTATTGTCTACAACACTTATTTGACTGCTACAGTTACTGCAGGTTAAACGTTTAGTCCAAAAATAATTATCAAGATATGTATGTTATGTAACTACAACAGTAGCCTGTACATTTTAAATTAACCATAGTGCATCAGGAATAACGAAGCAGTAACACACATGAAAGCATGAAGTTGTTTTTATTGTGTTATGCAACTACGTCCTCATTCTTGTAAACACTGGCTCATAAAACACAAATTTTATATAAACCAGATTAATGCTGCATATACATTTTTAAATTATACTACAAAAAATACAGGAGACCTTCGTTTCTACAACAACATTCGAAAGTCAAAAGTATATAATACTGGAAAAATCTGAATAAATGCTAATTAAATAATCCATGTTTCATGCAAAATTAAAACTTAAACACATAAGAATTAAACAACTATTCCCATTTTTAATCACCTGAATGTATCAGAGTTCAAACAATTTAATGGAAAAACAGGACTCAAATTAAACAGCTCACTTCTTCTGTTTTCCTTCTTTAAGTAATGGATCTGAATTCTTCTTCCACCACTTTATGATGTTATGAAACTGTGTCAGTCAGATGTGAAACCTTTTATTTTATACCTTTAGATGCGTTTCAGATTAACAACACAAAACAACAAAGTCAACAAAGAAGTGATGATGTGTTATAACGATTAAAGTCTTGCTGCCACCCAGCAGTATATAGCTCCTCTCTACCTCTCTACCTGCACACTTACACCCCCCCCGCCGCCGCCGCCGCCGCCTTTCACAACCGGTTGAGGCAGACTGCTGCAGTTTTTCCTCGCCACTGTCGCCAACTTCTCGCTCATGGTGGGAACTGTTGGGTCCTGACCAGCTTTAAAAAGTGTCCTGAGATAACTTTTGTTATGATTTGCTGCTACACAAATAAAACTGAAGTGAATTGAATTAAATATATATAGTAAAAAATAATCCGCCCCCCTCTACCAGCTGCAACATTAAAGCCAGAGTGTGGGACTTTTACATATGAATGAATGAATGATAAACGTCTGTTCTGTTCAAACCAAACACGTTCACACTGCTGATTAAGCCAATCGCCACCAATCTCTTCACATTATGTTCTTGAATCTGGTGTGATCGGTTGATTGGTTTGCCAGAACTTAAGGGGGAGGAGCAGCCGTACTGATGGAGACGCCTAAAGCAACCGTGGCGGAGCCTTTGACGTAGGAATCCGCATGAACCTGCATCAACAGTGTCTGTGTAATTACTCTGACAGAAGGACTTGGACAAAAGTTCAGCACTGCAGGTTTAAAGTACCTATTAATGCTCTCCAAGTACCACAATTATGACATTAAAATACAGTAGTGTAGGCCGACCCTATTCAGTTCCAGACTGTTGTTGAATCCTGAAAGGAGCCGAGTTCAAGAACCAGAGTGTATTCAGTGAAAAAAGGGCTCCTCTTGGTCCACTCTTCCCAATTGTTCCCATTTAAAGCCACGATTTTAGTGTTTTTTAACTATTCATTTTACTTCTGCTTACTATCTTGCCATCACATTTTCAGATGTATGTATGTATGCACTACATTCACAAATATGACTACTATCAGGCTGATATTGACACAAAATGTTACAGGAAATGCAAAACTTATTTCAAACTACATTTCAGCAATCATAGCTTTAAAATGTTGTATTATTTTAAGAGCATTACTCTGCGTACCACCAGAGGCAGCTGGCGTACCACCAGTGGGACACGTGCCATAGTTTGAGAACCAGCAGTATATATTCTTATGAAATAGGCAATTCTGACATAAAAACTGAAATAAAACTTGTACGTTTTGTACTTTTGTATATTCTGATGCTTATGCTTTTGTACTTTTACTTAAGTCAAAGTCATTTTGAATGCAGGACTTTTACCTGTATTTCTACACTAGTTTTACTGAAGTGACACAAAGCTGAACTGAGTCAGATGGATAAATATGGATGTATTAAAATGTGACAGATCTCTGTTCTTTCTTGTGCTGCACGCCAGTAACATGTTGAGGGACGAAACCCCTCCCTCCCTCCCTCCATCTATCTATCAACTCCCTCCTCTTCTTGTCTGCAGCCTGAATGAGCACCGTCAGACAGACACACAGGTGATCTGCAGATATAAAGAGCGTCTGGCAGCGGGTGGGACAGAGCAGTGGAGAGTTGGCGGAGAAAAGTTACGGGTCCTGGAAGAGCAGAGGAACCACAGTCTGTCTGGAACTTACAGTATCCTGCACCAAAAAACCAGCTACTTAACTCTGCAGCGACATGGTAAGATCACCACAGTTTATTGGAAATGTGGAAAGTTGAGTTGGGTATTTGTATCTCACTGTTTCTAAAATCTCCACCCTGTTCAAGATAAGTTAGGATTTTCTTTTTTCCAAACCACTAAACTCTGCCTGCATGAACACTGTGTATTTTAAATGTAAAATGCAGTTGTTTGTGTTAACATACATGCAGCTGCAAGCTTTTGAAGGCTTAAATGATTATACCTACACTTTGCACTTTGGATGTTTGATGTTAATAGTTTTATGAGTTTATAATCACTGACAGTCAGCAAAGAGGAGCTCAAAGCTTCTTCTTCAGGCTCAGATTTGTAAACTGATCCCAAGAATAAAACCCTATTTTTTGTGAATATTTAAGTTTTTGGATGTATTATCAAAGTTCATATTCCAAACTGTCACTCAACAGCAAAAAATCATCTTGGGGGTTGTTCTCCCTCCAGGGGGAAAAACTGAAATTCTCAACATGTTGAAACACGACTGCGGGAAAGCACTTAGAAAATGCAACAGTAGAGTGAATAAGCCTCTCCTGTTTTTGACATTGTTTACACCTAACGACTAGAAAAGCACAAACACAATGACTAATAGAATGAATCATCAGGCACCTTTTGCGTTGCACACTGAGCTGATGTGTATGGAAGCAAAGAAAGGCCGAAATAATTTAAATTCCACACACAATTGAATACACACACTGAAACTGAATCACCAATGAAACCACTGAATTTATTTTATTTTATTATTTTATTGTGAAATTTATGTGGTTTTAAATTCCTCTCGTTGAAATGTCCAGTGGAAGATGGATGTACCCTAATTCAGAAAGCTAGAGCAGTGTTTCTCAACTTTAATATCATAATAAAAAACACATTTATAATCAATATTTCTATTTTCAATACAATCTTCAACGACCATAAAACCCCTGGAAAAGAGTTTGATCACTACGGTGAGAATGACCCTCAGGAGCTCCTGTTTCTCACTGTCTGCTATTAATTTAGTGATGGATTCTGAACATTTGAAGTGTTTTTCTCAATAAATCAGACACTGATGATGCAGCTCTGTACTGAACCTCTTTATTTAGGCGTAGGGGGATACATTAATACATTTTGAGAACTGGGCTACACAATTCAATGTTCTGTTGTGTCTAAATTTCTAAAATTCTATTTAAGACATTTTTTAAAATCTAACTTGAATTCTTGAATTTGCTTTACATTTTTGTCTTTTACTGAAATGTCTTTATTAACTAACTACAGATGTTGATGGTGCCGAGGGAGTGAATCCTAATCCCTCTTTCAACTTAAACTTACCTACAGGAAAGACAGAATTCAAACTATTTCTGCAATAACTGAGTTTTTTTGCCACTTGGGGGCAGCAGTGGAAACAAGTTGTGAACAAAACATTGACATATATCAATGAATTTAAATTTATTGAAAGGTAAGCAGATGATGCAGAATCTCATTTTAAGTTCATGCGGTGAACCTGATAACCAGCAGTTACGGACCAATATTATATACCTCATTTGGAGTTGTGCTTCTGACCAATATTCACTCCCCTTTTAACTCTCTACAAACTCCTGAGGGAAATATCTGGCTTTTTAGCTGCTAAATGCTTCACTATGTTCACCAGCTGGTCGCTAATTGTGTCTGTCTGGTGATGAGCAGTCAGCGGGCTTGTAGACCGTTTTCCCCGAAAACAGCTGCCTGTCGCAGCTGAAAATAATGCAATTAAGTGTGACATGAACCAAAACAGTAAGATTTTGGTCCAGAAAGCTAAATAATGCACTGAAACTCACCATAAAACTCTGCAGATTCAGGTGATCTGTCACATTGTTTTAACATCTTTATTAAAATATAGATTATAGCTGCTTTAAATTAAATGGTATTTAAATATCAGTAGTAGGTATTCAGTAGTGATTCGGTTCCTTTTTAAATTCACTCTCTTATGGTCTCTCCTTGCTTCTATAGAGGTGTATTTTATCTATTTAGAATAACTTTTGACTGCCCAAATCTATTCATCCATCATCAATGGCAGCAGTTTTAAATTTTAGAATTAAGAGATCAGAAACAGTGGATATTATTTATGGATGGCAAACGTATAATATTATAATTCTAACAGAAACTATATGAGAAAACAACCGTTTTCATACTTTTCAGGTTAATGTTTGCAATAGATGGCTTGGCTTACAAACCATGTTTTTGGGGAGTCACAAATGTTGAGAAAAAGTACGACTAGAGTTGTTTTACTTTGTGTTTTGTGTTGAGAATCTTAACTTACATCTGTATTGTTTTTTTGTTTCTGTTTCTGTTTCTGTTTAGAGAGAGTGCATCTCTATCCATGTGGGCCAGGCAGGTGTCCAGACAGGAAATGCCTGCTGGGAGCTCTTCTGCCTCGAGCACGGCGTCGGTCCCGATGGCGTCTTCCTGGACAGCCCTGCAGAACCAAACTCTCGTGAAGACCCGTTCAACACTTTCTTCAACACCGGGAGCTCTGGGCGTCACGTTCCAAGAGCGATATATGTAGACCTGGAGCCCACAGTGGTTGGTGAGTATTCCTCTATGTGTGTTTATTTTTACCCTTCCTTATCTCTATTTTTTTATTACAGCTCCCGTTGTCCTATTATGTGTGGAGTGCATCTCCATCCACATGGATCGTGCAGGTAACTGCAGAGGGGGAACGCTGGTATCCAAGCAACAAGTGCAGCGGTGACTCCTTTACCTTTTATTCAATACTGGCTAATATTTGCACAGAAGTGTGTTATGTAAATAGCAAGTTGCACAGAGCACTACTGGATTGATTTTAGCCACCAGGCAAAACCCTTCTTTCCAATATATCCCCTCAGTTTAACGAATGCTCAAGTTGCTTCATTTCATCATCACACAGTCTAAAACTGATAATCACAGCTTTCACCACAGGCTGTTATGTATTTAAAGGTCCAGTGTG